GTTTCTTTGTCGAAGTTTCTTCTTTACTGCGTGTTGTTACTTCTTCATTTACAGTCTCTTCTGCACAAAAATCCTTTTTTTTTTTTGATGGCGTTTTTGTTCCCTCCATACTTTTCGTTTTCTTTCTTTCTCTTTATCCGATAATTCACTTACTTTATTATTTTTGGACCTAACATATTCTGCATGTTTTTTTTTCTTAGCCTCATATTTTTCAGGATCATTTTTTTAATTTTTGCCCTATATTTCCTCATAAGTTCAGCAGGTGTTAAAGGCATTTTTTTTATATTTTTTTATACTTTAAGTATCCTAAAACAAAATAGTATTTTAATATTGAGTTATCACTACATAGTATAAAGCAAAGTCGCTTCCCGCGTCTGTCCCTATGTATGTATGTATGTATGTATGCTTAGATCTTTAAAACTACGCAACGGATTTTTTTAATAGATAGAGTAATTCAAGAGGAAGGTTTTTATTTATAATTTAACGCGTGCGAAGCCGCGGGCTTAAAATAATAAAAATAACCTACCTAACTACCTCCCGAAGCTTCTACACTCGCCTATCGGACATATCCGGGCAAAAACCTTCCTTCACCATTTCCAAATAATAATATCAAAATTTTCTGCTATGCGGTTGGGTGAAATTGGTCTAAATCGCCTCAAACATTTGAATTTATTTTTAATAAAAAATTGTTATTTATAAACCTCTCCTTTGGTTTTATTAAAATCGCTTGAAAACTAAACAGATGTGAAAAATAAAAAACTATCATGTAGTAGTTATGAATGTTATTAGTCTAAAATCTGAACTAATATGCTACGCTACTAGTCTAAGATCTGATTATTTATCTGTTTGTTTTAATTATGTAAACCAATTTAATTAATTCTTACATATATAAAAAGACAATTTTTTAGCGAGTAGCGTAGGCTAATTACGTAATATATTAAGGTATCAAAATATTACTTAAAAAAATAATTGTTTGACGTGCGCTGCGTAAACTATTGGTTATACTTACATAAAATCACAGTCAAGGATCATTTAAGTACATATATGTACATTTTGTTTTATATTATTCAAATCACACCTTTCGTTAAGAAGTTACAACGGGTATAAAATGCTTAAAATAAGAAAAACGGGGAATGTCCGCTATGTGGGCTTACAACTTTACACTACGTCTTTGTAACTAACAAATAAATTTTTTGTTTCAATATAAAATTACAACTCCGAATTGCTCCCGTGCGAAGCCGGGGTGGGTCGCTAGTCAATTTACAATTTGAACACGCCTTTACCTTCCACTGAGTTACAAATTCATTCCAATGAGTGAAATGTTTCTCAGCCGACGTAACTCAATCTATGTGAGTGATAATACAAAAATGATTTCACAGGTTATTATTTGTGCCTTTGCATAAACTTTATGATATATTTAGAGTTTAAACCTTGAGCTTTCTAAAATATAACACAAAAACACTTAAGTAATTATTCTTACCTTGATTTTGCCTTGAATATTCCCGTTAATCAGTGGAAAATCTCTTCTGCACCAAACTAACATCCACACTTATTTAGCGTCTCGTCACGGTTTGCAAAATGGCTAACAGTTATGACGCTTTGAAATCTTGTTGCCAAATTGAAAAATATATTTACAACCGGTAAAAAATAAAAAATATGGTTTAAATTAACGTAACTCAGTAGGAACTTTCCACTTAGATCCATTTTGAGTTACGAGAAATAAACTCTTATAATGCATTGATTACGGTTGATATTTCCGTGTAAGGCATTTTGAACGTTCATAAATATACAACTGCCTTTGGAGTCAGTTAAAATTCAAAGTTTTGGCGGCAAACAGTGATGATATGTAAAGATTAAACCACTGCAACTGTAAGTTACATCACATTTTCATACATACGAGTACTTTTAGAAAATCATAAAAAATACAATTTAAAGAAAACCTCAAAATAAAAATCATATTTAAAAACAAACATAAACACTAATCTTTTTTTATTCACATCATGAATATTGATAATGATCACCAAAAGAAAAATAGCACAAGTGAGGTGACAGGTGAAAAAAGGCATGGTACAAAAAAAATAAAAATACGCCCATTATTCAAACCCAACTGTAAATGATTACCAACTCTAAATAATCAATATCGATTTTTTTTAAGAATCAAGTATTATACGTTCCCATTTTTAGATTGGCATGCCTGGTGCAATAAGTCTGACAGCTGTCAATATGTATTTCTTAGATTTGGTTGACTTATAGTATTGTCCTTTCATCGTAACTTGACGCGTAATCAGATTGGCAGCACTGTAATTTACAGTGTTGCATGTTTCAATGTGAATAGCGTTCCCAAAATGCAGGGAAAGGCATTATGGATATGTATATGGTGCTGATGACTATACATATGTGATTTTTTAAGTGTTATTGTGTACTCTCTGAAATAATTCATATATCAATAGGAACATTCGAGATAAATTTATTAAGAGAGGGTTAAAAAGCATCATTTTATATAACTATGATCAATAAGGTGTAAAGGGATAATAACTTCTTCAATGTTACTTGAACACTCACTGTCACTATCACTTTCGTCACTGTCCATGGAGGTTAGAATGCCAACCCACAATAAAAAGCGATTACTTACTTCATTTATTATTTTATTTTTCATATTCAATTTTTATACCATCTGAGCTCTCTTTTTTTCCAAATTTCTTCGCTTATTGAGCTTAACGTTTCTTTTATAAGGGATTTCATAACACTCCATATTAGCTCAAATGAATTTAAATCTGCAAGATATGGGGGCAGTCGCATAACATTATGACCATGTGATTTTATTAATTCGTCAGCTTAATATATGGGCTCTATATTTCTATTATTTATATAAATTAATATTTCTATTAATTCACATAAAATATTTTTTGGCAAAATTCGGTGAAAACAACAGTCCCTTGTTATAAAGCCACTCTACCATATCTATTTTGAGGCTTGCCATATTAGGGCTTTTATTTGTACTTTATCATATGGTGCACTGTCCATCACAATCACACAATTAGGTAGCAGCTATATCTGTTCGTTCCACTAACATTTTTCGTTTTGATTGACACTTTTTGTATTTATATCCGAGTCGTTTTATTATATTCCATAGTGTAGTACGCCCTTCAAATTTTCCAAATTTTCAACCTTCAAAATTTGTTTCATCTAGCAATTCGACAAGTAATTTGTTTAACGTAGAAATTTCTTTTCGTACAGCGTAAAATGACATAATTTTTTGTTGTGTTGCACCAGCACCAGTATTATCGATTTTGATCTTTGTATCGCGATTTATGGTTCATAAATGATAGCTTGATCTCTGCGACAGCTGTCAGTAAAAATCACACCTATGAAGTCCTGAATTTCTTAGTGGTACATACAGTACCTGTCAATGTCATACTTTATGGGCATGCACTAATTAGGTCGGTATGCCCATAAAGTATGACACTGACAGGTACTGTCTGTACTACTAAGAAATTCAGGACTTCATAGGTGTGATTTTTACTGACAGCTGTCGCAGAGATCAAGCTATCTTTTATGAACTATAAACGTTTTTTTTCCAGGTGTTACTTTTGATGGACCAGGCCCACCCATATTTGAAACAGAACTGATCTCTCTTTCTTGTCTCAAAATTCGGGTTACAGTAAATTCGGATACATCTGTAGTCATTAAACAAATGCAATTTTATTTTCTTAGGTAGTTAATAACATTAAAATATTTTAGTAACGTTATTAAAATACATACGTGACGTTACTAAAATATATATACTTCTTTACATACAAATATTTTAATATCATTAAGCGAATTACAAAAACAACAGTTAATCTAAATCTTTGTAACTGGTCACCCTAAAAACATCACCGGTTTATTAAAAACAAACCGGTGATGGCGGCAACTCGGGCACGAATATGTTGCAATGGCAAAGTCAGCTTGTTTACAGCCTTTTCTTTGTCACAAAAAGCGTAAATTTGAAGAATAGTTTTCCTTTTAGCACTTTTAACTACTTTCAGAATTTTTAAAACTGAGATTAAATTATTAAAAAGAAAAATAGCACACAGATAGCAACCAATCAAAAAAATTAAGATGGCGACTGAGGAAACAGTGCTACCAATCACTCGCGCGTCAAGTTAAGATGAACGGACTATATAGTCTATAGGATTCTCTGTCTACCGTAGACAGAGAAACCTATAGATTAATGATTAGCGCGGCCTCGAGTGAGAGAGGACGATAACGTAGTTTTAGGTTATACAATAACCTTTATGACTTTTAAACATATTTAGATAAATTTTTTATTTATTCTAAGAACTGAACTGAACAAGATTCACCAATCTTAAGCTCACAAAACACTTTTTTCTCACTTAAACCAACTTGCAAACTCCTTAGATCGCTACGAACTGTCAAAGTTGTTTAGCAAAGTGAAGTGTGCTAAACATAAAAACCGGCACGGAGAAAGGGACAAATAATTACACCGCTATGTCTCATATCTATGCAAGACGTATGCATAAATCTATGTTTATCGTGTGCGAATGCGAAAGAAGGCGTCAATTTGTCCTTAGGTTTCTGTGTCTACGCTCACCTTTATAATATTGTAGTCTTTGCTCACAGCATAGATTACTGACTATGTACTAGAGAGCACTAGAGAGCTCACACCTCACAGTAATGATAATCTATGGTGTTGCTGTTTGTGATTGTCGTGGTTTGTCGTAAAATTTAGTAATTTGTTTTGTGTTCTCTGAGGTTGATGCTGATGCAAAAGAGTTCTCAGGCAAAATAAGGTTGTAATTTCCAAAATAAATACATATTTTATATTGAATTTCAGAGAGAAATCCACTGATGAATGATGAGACACTAATAGATACTCCTTGTACCCTCAAATTTATAGTGTTCTATTATTTATTGCAGAGTTAGCAAAACCCAATAAAATGTCTGATACAAGTGATCTGGATCGTCAAATAGAACAATTAAAAAGATGCGAAATAATAATGGAGGCTGAGGTTAAAGCACTTTGTGCGAAAGCCCGCGAGATACTTGTAGAAGAGAGTAATGTTCAACGAGTAGATTCTCCAGTTACGGTAGAATACCATGTTATTTTCATATTTTTATTGGTATTCTCAAAATTCATCTTTTTGAAAAAACATTACCTTTGATTTATTTTATATTAGTTATTGACCTTACTCCTCATTATATTGTTGACATTGAATTTCGTTTTTTAGGTGTGTGGAGATATTCATGGACAGTTTTATGACCTTAAAGAATTATTTAAAGTAGGTGGTGATGTACCTGAAACTAATTACCTATTTATGGGTGATTTTGTTGATAGAGGTTTTTATTCAGTGGAAACATTCTTATTACTTCTAGCTTTAAAGGTAAAAATTGATGCTAATTGTTTTATATGAATTCTAACTCAACAGTACCATACCTATTATTAGTTTGAAATAAAAACTAACAAACATTGTAAATTAATTTTTAAAATTACTCATTGGTTTTGGCTATGTTCCTGAGGTATTTTACATCCTTGAAACTGAAACATAACTGTAGTTGCAAAAATAGATACATAAAAATGTTGTACAACTGGTAGGTTAGCACTTAGCTTCAGTAGCCGCCAGCCACTGTGCAGGAGGGAGTCACTGCAAGCCAAGGTGATCTCTAAGTACAGTTGTATAGCTGAAGTCTCAACACTAAGATATGACTACTGAAATGGTTGTCATTCTGCAAAAGATGTGACCAACCCATTGACACTTCAATTTGCAAAGATGTAAGGATGTTGTTTTGGTTTTTAGCTTTGTATTGTGACTCTTAGGCACATTCTCACAATGGAAAAAATTCACTGAAAAATACTTACCACTTATAACATTCCAGGTTCGTTACCCAGATCGCATCACACTTATTCGGGGCAACCATGAGTCTCGTCAAATCACACAAGTATATGGTTTCTACGATGAATGTTTAAGAAAATATGGTTCTATAACAGTGTGGAGGTAATAAATATTGATATATTCTGTTATTATTATACAAAACTAAACTGATAAGCAGCAAGATCTGTTGCAAGTTTATGTGAACATCATTAGACTTACAGTCTATTGCACTCACAACTGTGTGCAGGAAAAGCTTGACATACTGTTGTGAGTGTACTTGCTACTTATTTTATATTTGCAATCTTCCGTCTGACACACATGTCAGACATTTTTTGCAGGTGAGAAATGTGGCCTAAGGTATGCTTTGAGATAGAATTGTTTGAATTTAATTTTCATGACTGCCTTCAAAACAACATTTTCATGTTTAGTATCAGCAAATTGCAATTTAATTATTTACATAAAACTGAACTAACAAGTAGACATCTTTCCAATTATTTTGGCAAAAGGAGATATTAAAATGTTTTATCATAATAGGTCTGAGAAAAAGTTTATTTGTATAAAATTGAAGAAAAATCTCTTTGATTGTACTATTTGTATGTGGCTGTTTTTAATATCAAGACATATATAATAAAAATAAAAATACTTTACTGCAATTTTACAATTGATTTTCGGTGTGCCAAAATGAGTGAATCTAATGAAGAAATTTGATACATTCTAAAGTTTTATTATTAAAAAGGGAAATATTTGACTCAAGCCGTGAAAAATATTTGTGACATTTATGGATTTAATGCCTTTTATTATTATTATTGTTACAAAACAGCTCGGTTGGGAAAGTTTTAATGCATCCACAATCAAAGATTTAAATCGGTAGATGCGCCTTCACCTTGAAAAACTGTTATATTTGAATGTGTGCATTTGCTATAAGCTGATGCGCACACACAAATGCATGCACTACCACGGCATTTCTGTATGTTTATGTCTTCTTTGTAAACCGCTTCCTTGGTACATCTGGGTATCTAACTAAATTGGTTATCAGAAAAGTACTGAGACAATAGTGTCGTCTCTTATTATCTTACGGAAATTGTGTATAATACTTTCTCAGTCGCACAGTTTCCGTTTGCCCGTAAGTCTGTTTAGTCTATTTATAGATGGTCCCTTTGTAAACCACTTCCTTGGTACATCCGAGTATCTAACTAAATTGGTTATTAGAAGAGTACTGAGACAATAGTGTCATCTCTTATTATCTTACGGAAATTGTGTATACTACTTTCTCTGTCGCACAGTTTCTGTTTGCCCGTAATTATTTCATGGTATTTTCTGACATTGGAATAAAATAAATTCAATATTTAATAAAATATAGATACTTACAAGAGAAGTGTTACACCATGGGCTTTCTTTGTGTTTCTAGAATTATTATTGCACTTTAGATAGGCACACAATGGCATTCAGTTTTTTTTTTTTTGGCGAAATTAGCATGTTAGTTCCAATGTGCAACTGGAGTTAGCTCACTTTTGAGAAAGGAAGAGTGTTATAGTAAGGGCAAATTATTTAATCTTTTCCAAATTAGTCCGCCCTTTGTATCCTTTTGGGGATAAAGATTTTAAAATAAAATAAATAAGTTTCCCTGTTTTGGTCTCTTCAGAATTCTTTAGGTAGGTTAATATAAAGAGAGGACTGTTAAAACTACTTGTCGCATTTTTTCAAACTAAAATCCCCAATATTTCTACAGCAATAGGACTATGTCCTTACCTACAAGATGGAAACAAGTTATCAAACAAAATGGCACATACATACTATAATCAAATGTAATTAAACTTTGGAAAAAAATTCTTGAATTTGTATATAAATACTAAGAAAATTTTCTCTGCTCTTATATTTAAAAAAAATACAATTAGCAAATATTGGTTTAAACAACATTGAAGGTAAATAAATAAAATAAAAAAAATATCATAAATATAGATTTTTACATTATCATGTTGCAAGTAGTAGAACAGTTTCAACTACAATTGTTGAGAGGCTACAAAATATGTTATCTAGAAAATTTAAATGTAAAACTTAAAATACCCCTAAGATTAAGTTGAAAAAACAGATTATTTCTAAAACATACCACTTACTTACTAAGTTTATTTATACCTAAGTGTATACTTAACATTGCCTTGTAGCAGTGGCGTGAGAGAATCCACTGCCTCATATCATCCTGTGGGTATTTCTCAATCAAATCATCACTTCATAAAGCCTTTAGTAATTCTACAATTTTATAAAGACATTATTTTATTATAGGTACTGCACAGAGATTTTTGACTATCTTTCGCTTTCTGCCATCATTGACGGTCGGATATTCTGTGTGCATGGCGGCCTAAGTCCTTCTATACAAACACTTGATCAAATTCGCACAATTGATCGTAAACAAGAGGTACCTCACGATGGACCTATGTGTGATTTACTGTGGAGTGATCCTGAGGGTAAGCAATAATTTTATTCTATATTATCTATTATGTCTGATACGAGTACGAGTGCTATCAGAACCTTAATCACAAGTTAAGTGATGCTCTTATATTATTGTTCAAATAATGGTTTTTAAAGTATATATATTGAAACTCAATGGCTTAGAGTCAGTTGAATGAATAGGTTTGTAGTTCAGTTTTGTTTACGAGGGACTATTTTACGAAACTGCACATCTAAGTGTGTATTTTGCTTGTGAGTGAGCCATTAAATATAGAAGTTCAGCAATCCTCTGGGTTATTCTGTTTATCAATCCTAGATGGGGTGGATAATCGGAATTAACTTTTTAGATTGTTGTTCCGCCTCTCTACCCCAAGTACAGTTCAATAGAAAATATATTCATGCTTTAACATATTCTTAATTATTATTTTAAGTACTATACTATTTCCAATACTGTTTAAACAATGTGTTATGTATGTGGTAATACAATGTGTCCAGTCATCGGTGTCAGACTCTTTGGGGAGTTGAAATATGGTAAATTTTATCGACAAATCACTACCCCTATTTTTTTCCTCTCTCCATGTTGAAATGGTAGCCATTTTGGTTTTTTTTTGCGTCGAGGCACGGATATTTGCACTGATTAAGCCATAGCTACCCATGTAGAAGTTATTGAACATTTTTGTTAAGTTTTTGTAGAAGTTTGTAGTGTGTAGAACTTTTTGTAATGTTGTGGATTCAGTTTTTGTTTTTAGTTAATAAGACTTATATTAAATGGTGCCCGTTGCACAAATGATAGACGAAATGGATATTAGCCACGTCCTGGATTGAATAATGGACATCTTTCATTTTAGTTAAGTTTTATCGACTAAAAACAATAACTGAGTCCACATTAAAACAAAAAGTCCAATAACGAAACGAAAACTTAACAAAAATGTTCAATAATAACAACGCACAGTTTGTTGGCACAAGAGAGTGTAATCACAACGCGGAGCGAAGGACGACTATCTGTCAGTGCGCCGTAATCTGGGCACAAGCGGTATTCTGTCTCACTCTTACCTAATAATGCTTCTTTTTGTACTTACTCGTGCAAAACACAGCATTGTCTGAAAATACACCCTTGAAATTCCTCGAAACCGCGAGTCCTGTTCATTATAAGCGGGATATTTAAGCTTTCAAGGGTCATATACAAACCTTCATTACTTCTAAACTATCTTAGGGCTAAGATGTAAGACTTACTTTTAAGCATACATTCTGTACTAACATTTAAGAATTAAAAACATTTAGTTTGATGGTTTAGATTTTATGAAAAAGTTAATTTAAAAAAAATTTACTTGTTTGTTTTAAAAATTCTCTTTTGCTCTTTTATAAAAAAGAAATGGCAAAATTGTTATCATTGATTTATTGTCTACATTATTAACTATCAAATGAGTCTTCTTTCGTCTTCCTAGAACTTCTACATGGGTAGTTATGGCTTAATCAGTACGAGCACCCGTGTCTCGAGGCAATAAAAACAAAATGGCTGACATTTCAACATGGAGAGAGAGAGAGAGAAAAAATGGGGATAGTGATCTGTCAATAAAATTTACTATATTTCAAACCCCCAAAGTCTCAGACACTGATGACTGGACACATTGTGTAATTGACAATATATTTATTTAATTTAAATCCATACCTACTTTAATATAATATAATTGAAATTAATTACCGTAAAACATTTCTTTCATCATATCATATGTACCAGTTTCTATCATGTTTTTATAAACGACTGTACACAGCCGAGGGATAAAATCGGAAGAAAAATAATATATGAATTTCGATTACCCACCCTGTCTGAGGTGGATAATCGGAATAACCCAATCCTTTGATGTTGTGAACGACCTCGGGGAGCAACCTCAGCGTGCAAAGATGTTCAGCCCTTTATAAGGCGACGACTTGTAGAGACCAGCAAGATGTGTGCAGCCATTTCCTCATCTCTAATACATGCCCTGTGTCGCGAAGACCATTCATTCCATCGCGAATTCGTTATTTCCCGAGTTCGAATTCGGTATTCTTTATGCGATTGACCTACATGAAGGACACGTATATGTCCTTACATTCTGTATTAGTGAATATCTGTTACCAGATATCTCTTTGTCGGGACCTCTTGTCCCTGAAGAGCCTCCAACCACCCCTTATAGCTCTCCCTTAGCCTCCACTTCTAGGTAACGTTTGAACAATATGAAATGCAGTGAGATATTATAATATATAATACTTTTATATATATATATATATATATACCAATATCTCCTTGCCAAGACGCAACAGCAACTCTTGCTAGAGAGTGGTGTCCCCTTCGAAGCACAACTTCCAACTGACTCTTAATTCGACACTAACATTTAAGTCACTTCCCCCTCTCTCAACCAGTGTTGCCCTCTTAGCAACATTAATTCTACCCATATTTAAATCGCGTTCGCGACAGCAGTGTTGCCCTCTTAGCAACATTAATTCTACCCATATTTAAATCGCGTTCGCGACACCCTGTTTGTTAAAAGAACAGTGCCCTAAAATAGCGTGCGTTACTATTGTCATCCGTGGTTTGCTTAGTCTCATTAGAACCTTGGTTAAACAACCATTTATTGCTGGCAGGGTTTACCTAGCTTGCCTATGTTTTTCTAGCTTCTTCGAAAGATGTGTGTGTTGATTAGTATAATGCTAACTTATTTGCTAGCTGACCAGTAATTTACTGGCTAATCCACACATCGGATTACAACTGGTATATAAAATTAATGGAATTTTTATCAAAAATGTATATGAAAATTAAGTTACTGTTATCATATAGTTTCATTCCTCAGGGTGCTTAAGGGATAATTTTGTTGACATACTTCTTTAGGTAATACATAAAGTAATTTTGAAGTAGATTGATGTGTGATGACAGTGATAGTGAGTCAATTGGTCTATTTTGTCCTGTAAGTATCATAAGAGACTACTAAAACAAATCACAGAAAAATCTTATGGCTTCCGATAGATGTATACTAATTTGTTTAGATAAGACTTAAAATAACTGGACCGGTGACGGATAACAGCATAAAAGATGAAATGACCTTAGAAAACTTGTGTGTTGTTTTAATATTTTAGATACACAAGGTTGGGGTGTTTCGCCGCGAGGTGCAGGTTACCTTTTTGGTTCAGACGTAGTCGCTCAATTCAATGTATCCAATGATATTGACATGATATGCCGCGCCCATCAACTTGTCATGGAAGGATACAAGTGGCACTTCAATGAGACTGTACTTACTGTGTGGTCTGCACCCAACTATTGTTATAGGTAGGTACTAAATCCTGTTTTGTATTACTACCTTACTATTGTTATAATCAAGATCGACATTAGTGCGCATGTACATCAAAATTTCATAAAACAAAGCAGTAGTGCACAAGCGTGTTTGCAACTATAGCTGCACTACATTCCCATACTCTCTTAGTTCAATAGGTTGGTAATCCGATACGACCAGAGAGAGATCAGGCTGGACCCAAAGACTTTACGCGATGCATGGGGGTAAGGCTCCGCTATCTTCCTGACTCCGGGCTGTTACTGTAAATTTCTTAACAGAAAAATCTAATAGCAAAGTGTACCCTGACCATGGATTCGAAACCGAAACCACATGATAAGCAGCCACAGTTACGACCACTAAATCAACGAGTTAGTATTCTCAAGCATTGCATTCTCCATATTGAAGTGACATACTAAAAATGCCAACTGGATGCATAACTTTAAAGATGTGGTGGTTGGCGTTTTGCTATTAAAATAGAGACACCTTACATAAGTATTTATAGTTACTAAGTTTGTTATTTCATAATAAAAATAAAACTACTTATTGGTTGCCAGAGCTTCCTTTATTTAGTAGATTGCAATGTTTGAGCATGATGTTAACATATGGAAAATTAATTTGTTCATTCATTCATTTTAACTATCATGAATGCAGTAAGTCAACTAGTAAATATTTTTCGTTTCTTAAAGTTTTTTTTTTTATAGAAGAAGGGTCAAACGAGCATGCGGCTCACCTGATGGTAAGTGACTACCGCCGCCCATGAACAAACGCGACACCAGGGGAATTGCATGTGCGTTGCCGTCCTTTCAAAAAGGAATAACCTCTTCTTGAAGGTCCCTAGGTGTATCGGTCCGGAAAAATCGTCAGTGGTAAACAATTCCACAGAGAAGTTGTACGAGGAAGAAAACTCCTATAACAGTGGTAGAGCCACGCGGCAGCCTTTGCTGTTGCACATATGGGCCGGCTCAAACCGGAGTGGTACCACGACCTCACAGAAGACCAGCGTGAGGTAGAGGCTTTGCTTATGCGTTTCGTTTGGTGAGTGTGGATGGCCGGAGACCCAATCTGCCCCCACCCCCCATCAACATGGTAGCGGAATTAAATGGAAGACTACCCCAGGAGGGTACCAGCACCCCTGGAGAATCCCTCGCTGAGCATCCACGACCAAGCTACTCCACTCCTGAGCGTGGGTGCTCAGTCTGCCCCGCGTATTCGGGGGGGGGGGGGGGGCAAAATTCGGCTCGAGACTAAACTTGCTCGGGGCAAACAGAGCTATAAGTCAAAGGCGCCCCCTTCCACGCTATCCGTGAATTTCTACATCATGGGACTTCATTCAAACCGTAACGCTGTCCACTACCATCTGGAAACGGCGCAGCCGGCCTTGCTCTTTCTAACCAAGACACAGGTGTCCTCTCCGGCTGATACTTTGTATCTCATACCCAGAGTACAAATTATTTGTGCCCCGGGCTGGAGTATGCGTGTACGTCAGAGAGCACATCTGTTATCGACGCCTCGGCAGTTAAGATACGTCCTGTCCATCTTATGGCTGCGCGTAGATAGCGACGACCATCCCCACGTCTACGGGTGCCTCTATAAGTCCCATAGCGTCCATACACAAACTGACTCATCAACCACGTCCAGATGGCTGCAGACTCTGTGCTACAACCATGAGGATCACCTGCTGATTGATGACCGCCCGTACGGTTTCCGTCGCGGTCGCTCGGCTGGTAATCTTCTGGGTTGCCTAACTTATAAATTGAAATAATAATTAAAATGATTGTATTCTCTTCTTGACTCTGCCATTCACATCTACAACTTTTGCTTTGTCACTCTTTCCTCGTAAATTCTTTCTACATGACCAAACCACTAAAGCATTCCTTTCTTTATCCTGGTCACAACATCATCTTGCAAATCACACATTTCTCTTATATTACGAAATTTCTCACCCTGTCATTCAGATTCAGCCTGAACATATTCCTTAATGACCGCATTTCTACAGCATTTTTTATACTTCATGCTTCTTCTGCCGCACCCAACTTTCACTACCATACACTAAAGTAGGGACTCACACAGCATTGTAAATTGCCATATGTGCCTTGTTTAACATTTTGTCTTTCCACAATAGAGTCTAGAGCCCCATTTACTCTATTTCCTGCGTTCACTCGTTCTATATCCTTATTGTATATACCATCCCTGCTAAATACACATACTCGTCCACTTGCTCACAACCAACTTCCCTTCTATTCTTATTTCACATATCATTTCACTTTCTTCTCTTTCAAAAACCATCATTTTCGTCTTACTTGCGTTTTTCAATCTCCTTTCTTTTAATTACCGGTTCATTAATATAACCATCATTAGCAATTTGGCCATCGACAATGTAAATATGCTTTGATCATCAGCATACAAGAGGCATTTGACGGTTAACTCACCCATCCTTTACACACATTCTTCACCTTTTAAAGTTTCCAAACAACTATCCATAAATAGGTTGAACAGCCATGGGGAACCTTCACAGCCCTGTCTGACACATTTATGAATGCCGAACCAGCCCGAGTAGTCCCCGTTAATCATGACACAAGCAATAAGAGTCCCTATAAAGAGACCTTAATGCCTGTATCAATCCAGCACTCAACAAAAATGAGTTCAGTGTTTGCCATAACACATGCCTGTATACTCTGTCATAAGCCTTTTCCAAGTCCATGAATGCACAAAAAACTGGTTTTTGGCCAAAAATTTCTCGGCATACATGCGCATGGATAAGACTTGGTCCGTACACCCTATACCCTTTCTAAATCTAGCTTGCACATCCCTAATTTTTCCCATGAGTTTCTTTCGTAACTCTTAATTAAATATAAATTAATAATAATGTAAACACATTGAAGATTTAAATCTGTCAAGGTCAAGTTGAGATTATAATCTCATATGTGCCATTACCTAATAAGTAACAAATTTGCACTAGAAATGTAGACAACAGTAGCACCTCAAATAAGCTATGAGGACTAATTTTGATTCGACACAGTGTTGATCTTTAAACTCAGTAACTGCTGTAACAAAGGTTGAGTTTTTGATAGGTAATAGATTGATATTAAAAGTATTATAAAAGTAATTTCTCAGTTTGTTAATTAACAAAATGTGCAATAAGCATCACATTAATAAGGACATTTTTTCCCTACATTATTGACCAAAGGTTATAAAAACTGAACATGCTTCTAACATGCAACATGCCTTACTTTACAAAATGAATAAATCAGAAATCCATATCCTTACAGATGTGGAAATGTAGCAGCAATTTTAGAACTTAATGAGAATCTTCAGCGTGAGTTCACCATATTTGAAGCAGCGCCGCAAGAATCCAGAGGAGTACCTTCAAAAAAACCTCAAGCTGACTACTTTTTATAATGTTTCATACAATAGACAATTGAAATGAGGATGAGGGAAGTCTAGTATTACAGTTTTATTGTAGTGATAAAACATTTAAATGTGGAGTTAATTTCATTGTGATGTTAAGACTGCTAAATGTGTCGTTTTAGTATTTGTTTATATAAGACCAGTGTGTTAATGTACTATGTTCAAAAATTCTTTTGTGAGCACTGGACACTGACCATCATAAAAGTAAGTTACTTTCTACTTTACTAATATATTTTTTAAATGATATCAGAGATTTTACCTGCAACTTTTATCACATCATGCAAAAACCATTATTTTAGACAATACACTACTACAAAAAATTAGCAGCCATCATTAAATTGAAGATGCTCCAATGTATATCCTGTTCTAAACTGAACAATGACCAGGATAGTACAATCTATTCGGTAGTAATAGTTTAAGTAGTGTCATTAATATCATACGAAAAAGTGCACTGCCATAATTATAAAGAGTTTGTTGTAATTTGACTAGTTTTACAGTTCATCCAATGCACTTAAGAATGCATATATTAAAAAGTGTTAATTTTTGGACCTTGGACTCATTCTCCCCTAAATTTATTATAAAACCCCAACATCCTTATGGTTCATAAAAGATAGCTTGATCTCTGCGACAGCTGTCAGTAAAATCACGCCTATGAAGTCCTGAATTTCATAGTAGTACAGACAGTACCTGTCAATGTCACTTTATGGGCATGCCGACCTAATTAGTGTATGCCCATAAAGTATGACATTGACAGGTACTGTCTGTACTATTAAGAAATTCAGGACTTCATAGGCGTCATTTTACTGACAGCTGTTGCAGAGATCAAGCTATCTTTTATTAACTATAATGTAAAGAATAAGAGCATAAACAATAATATATTGACATCATGTTTTGACAATTTACGAGAATTATGAGGCGGATTGTTTAACTCTATAAGAGTATTTATTAACCTGTGTGACTTAACTTTACATCCTCTAGTACAAAATAGAGATATATTTAAGGATACTGCTTATTAATATGTGTGTATTCAATCTTTAAATGCAAGATTATAGTGCAATTATAGGGGAGAAGGAGATAACAAAATGTGTGAAAGGGAAAATTAATGATGTTTGAAAATTTAATGATAGCTTACGCTTTAAATTAAGATTGGTGTAGCTGAAAGTGAATGTTACTAGTTTTAAAAACTATCTAAATATAGTGTTTGTGTGGTTTATCAGCTTTGATAACTTTATGCTTCAACATTATCAACTATAAAGACAAATTTACATTGGGTCGGACACTACTGACACCAGTCAACTGGCACTTCTTTGGTAGTGAAATCTATTTGATACATTGAATTTATTTGAGAGTTGTAAACTGACCAACATAATTTTAATGATGTTAATATTCATGTGCACATATGTATTTACACAATACTATCAGTAATGCTAGCCAAACTTAGTAGTGATTTTATATTATAATATAAATTCAGCGCCGATTTGACTTGAAATCCCTTATTAAAATATGATAGCATTATTTAGACAACATTGACTTGCCTTAACACTATAACTTCTTATTTCCTCAATGCAAATTTACCTTAATTTTTATAAGCACACAGTTTTGTAAAATCTCATCAACCAACTCTACTTTTAGCCAAGTTTACTTTGGTTATTATAATAAAGTCAGCAGATCTAATTACATTGATTAATTTATTTTCTATAATTAAGCTATGATATAATTAAAAACAATAATAGGTTTTTGACTTTGAAGGTAAGATTAACTATAATTCCATAATTTTGATTGCAATTACTGAATACTAGTAGTAGTCACCTTCATGTGAGCTGCTTGCTTGTTTAATAATAATAATTCGAAAATTGTGATCTCAACATTACTGTCTCCTATTCTTCCATAATGCAGAAAGAAATGTCAAGTTTTTAATCTGATAATTTCTTTCCATTTTTGCGATTACATATTATGATATTTGTTCATTTTGATTTGCCAAAAATTTTAATTCAAACAATTATTTTATTAATTACCTTATTTAAAAATGTTACTTTCTTCAGACTGACTCCCTATTATTCCATACTGTTTTAACTATTTTGGAATGAATTGGTGTTGTCATACTTCATTTTTATATGATAATTAATAAAACAAATTATAATTAATGTGTATTTTATTTAAAATATCACAACCTATACATACCTCTTATGTATGTACCCCACATTACATATTATATTGTATATAAATATATTTGCTTAATAAATAAATAAAAACAATATCTATAAGAGGTAGATCAAACAAAATCACATTTTTTATATCACATTGCATATATCTGTCAAAATGTCACTACATTTTGTTGATACCTTTATATCTACTATATTATCTGCTCTAGTTGGTCCAATATTTAAAATGGCGACTTCCTTCTTTTCTTCCTTTGCTTGCAATATTATTCTGTAGCTTGAGTACACTGTAAGACTAGAACCCAATACAAATACTGCGTCACTTCCACTTACTTCGCTACGGACTCTTTCAACTCTGTGCCTCGGAACATTATCACCAAAAAACACAATGTCTGGTTTCAGAGGCCCTTTACATTTAGGGCATAGTGGTACTTTAAACTTTTTAATTTGTTCCTGAAATAATATATTAATTAAGAAACATGCAATTGGGTCGATCAACTATTTTTTGTCCTAACCCTGTCCCAGGCATTCAAATATTTTTTTCTCAAAAAGTATGGTTGCGAATCAGAAAATTAAGTGTTTGCCTTATCATTAGTATTATGTTTAATACACAAGGATTAAGACTTGGTAAATGAACACAAAATTAACTGAAATACTTGTGATTGTCCAAAAGACGCAAAGTTCTTTTCTTTGTACAATTATATGTCCCCAGGCACTACACATCTATAAAAATGATAGTGAAAAAAAATTCCATTGTCACATTAAAACTAGTTTCTCGAAAATATTCAACCTTATTTAATAGTTTATTAAAGCTTCCAATAATATTTTCATTGGCCATCTATCGCCTAATCTCAGAATTATTACGTTGTCCCACATATTACTTCAAAATCGTATGTCAATCGGACAACCACTAAGAATTTCTAATACTAAAAAGAGATGACGTTACAAGTCTGCAATCAATAAAGTAATCAATAATAAGCCGCGGCAATACAACCGCCGTTTTATTTATTGGAAGAATGTTCGAGTCGGTCGGTCGCAAACAACAAGACAAATTGCGTGTGTTAATCGTGAGTCCACTGAACCACCGCATTAAAACTGTAAGTATCTAGATATTTAATTACAGATTTTATAAAAAAAGTTCATATTATTTTTCAATGGTAAACTTAAGAATCAGGACAATAATTCAATAATATTTCAATTAAAGTCCCTAAACTTAAAATGTGTCTCTTGGACAACTAAAATGGTTGTCCAAGAGACATTTTTTCATTTAGAATTCCAGGGGATTCATTTCAAATGATTTGCGATTATTAAGAATTAGTAACAATACTTGCATAAATAAATCAATTTTATTTTTATAAATAAATATAAATTTTTTTTTATAAATTATATATATATATATATTTATAATACTTTTAATTACAACCAAAATCTTTAATTATCCTTTTCTTTGTCTATAAATGTAAAGTTAGGTCATATAACCATAAAAATGTCTCTTGGACAATTATTTGTCTCTTAGACAACTGTTTTGTCCCCAGAATCAGAATTAACAAAACCTTCATGTTTTAGACAAAAACTTAATACTTATTATAAAATTTGTTTAACAGTGTTAGGAAAAATATCTTCAATTATGTTTTATCATATTATACATATAATTTAATGCTTTTATTAAAACCTCTTTCTTTTATTTCGACGGTAGTTGTCCAAGAGACATTTTAACTAAAAATAATTTGAGGATAGTCAATGCAGTACTGATAATTCAGTGCTTTAGGATAATATTTAACGTAGAACTACATAATTACACTGTTTATTTTAAACTTAAGTCTCTATTTTAGCAGTCATAAATTAAAACCTATGGTTGTCCAAGTGACGGATTTGTTGGCTAGTCATCAGGTTTTTTTGTTAAAAATCCAATTTTAGTCTTATAAAGTGCGTTGCTGGATATGAAATTTAAAAATCTGATAAATTATCTACATTTCAATAATGTTAAAAACTAAAAGTAAAACAATAAACATTTTTTTAAATAATTCCGATAGGACAAAAAATAGTTGATCGACCCAATATCATAGGTACTAATAGTATATTGTTAACTAATAGTATCGCCAATAATTTAATTTTAAAGAGGGTAACACATTATTTTTTTATAAGCTCTTACATAAAAGATGTTTCAGTTGTCATTGATTAAATTATAGATATTTCAATAACAAGCAATCTATGACTGAGAAAATAACCACTCAACCAGAAATTTCACAAAAATAGTAGGTATGATGGGAGATATTTTGGACATCAGAGAAAACTATGACAGTCTCAGGTCAGGTAGCTTTCTACACAGCTTGCTGAGCGATTGAGCTTTCTCATACAACAATAAAATATTTTGTTGTGGTTCCATAAAAACTAATATGAATACCTACTTCTGATAGGTCAACATCACCATCGGGCCTTATCATTGTGAAAGTGCTTTCCATATCAGGATTCTCATTCATCATTATCTTCTGTAGCTCTGATCTCTTGATCTCATAAGGACACTGCAGACACTTAACTATGTATCCAGTTCCATGAAGCTCAATAACATTCTCTGATCCAGCTTTATGATGCAGTCTGTCTACATTCTGTGTTACTATTGCACTAACTTTTTGAGTCTATGGATTAACAATACGCATTTAGTTGATAAATTATATGTAAAAAACCACGAAGGTTTAAATGTTTATAACACAATATAAACTTTACTAACAATTTCGAACAATACTATAGAAGAGATAGCGATGCCGTGTAGGGGTAAGATAAAAGTTTATTCTGTATCTATCAACACATCTGGATGATTGGCGGTCCACCGCTGTGCGATTTACAAGAAGTTTTCTTCCTTTTTCAGATGTCATAAAGATCTTGTGGTTTCTGATAGTGTTATAATTAAATATCAAAAACTTATGTAAACTACTAGAAGGGCTATGCGGCCATAATACATTGCGCACTAAGTTACGTTCAATTCCGTAACTCCTTTAGCCGTCTGCGGGCAAGCAAGAAGACTAGTTCGTTGGTTTGTAAACCTCAAACGTTGTTTTCGACAATCTAACACTGTTTTTGTTTAATGTGACTTAGAAAACGCTATCATCGTCAACATGATTTGCAGTTTATTTCATATAAGTATGGTATTTTATATCGTATTGACCTAAAAACAGTATCTGTCGTAAACAAATATAAATATATTGGTCCGAATTGCCAGCGTGTAGTTAGTATACATAGAATTGTCTCATATTGCTGGATTGCCTACACCGGCGATAAGAAGCAAAGTTAAAGGTACAAGTCGTCTATAGTCCGGACGCGAAGAAGGAAGAATTTCGTACGTTGACCTGTTATTACCTGTCTCTGTCACTCCCGCGTAAGTATAATGCGTCTCGCTCGCACAGATGCAATGACCGCCGTCCTCAGTGATTGTAAACCTTTTACCTGAGACTGTAAGTTTTGTTTGCACGTGGTATTTGGTTGGCCTTGAGACACGACCAAAAATCCTTAGTTTGCTTGACATAATTAATAATTTTTATGTAACGAACAAACGACATTCCATCTTGAGATGCGTTAGTGATCGCTCAGTTTTCAAACACAGTTATCTCTGTTATCAATTCTTAGTTTGTTGTTGTTTGTTAATTTTAGTTATCTTGTTTTAATTATTAAGTGGTTTTGTTAAGTTTAATGTAGACAAAACTGTTGTCTTTTGTATTAAATGTGACAACAGAACTACATCGGAAAAATGTAATTCCAATATAGAGAAATCCGATTCTGAATTTTCCTTTTTTTAATTCTGCCAAATTAGTAATTGTAATGGACGACACACACGGTCAGTTCAACTGATCATTCCAACTGATGAGCTTAAACTACGACTGTTGATATTTTTTAAAATATCTGATTTTCGATACATCTATAAATAAATCTATATATAAAACTCTGATATTGATATATTTATATTTAAAAAAAATATCAACAGTTCTAGTTTGAACTGATCAGTCGGAACGATCAGTTGAATTGACCGTGTGTGGCGACCACAACTCGATTTTTATAACTGTTATGATAATGATTTCTTTTATTTACGCGAAAACTACACATTGATTAAAAATAAAGAAGGAGGCTGGGTACTACCACTGGTTGGGACTGGTAATTAATAAAATTAAAACTAAACCCAAGCATACCGCTGCAAGACTTCAAGACACAGTAAGTTCATTCTGCGTAGATCGGACCATAAACAATAATTAAAAAGCTGAAGGTACTCCGGGTTAACATTGACATTGGGACATCAGTCACCTCAGTCCTCCGAGTCCGAAACGTCGGAAATTAAAAATCACTTAAAGTTAAACGTGATAAAATCCGTAAAAGTGTTTTTAATCAACTGTTTTTATACTAAAATCAAAATAAATAATTTATGTAATACCCATAATTTATTTAATACGATCGTAAATTTAATTTTTTTTCCTTCAAATATTTCGTAAAAACTACACTTAACACAAAAATGTTTGTGACCACCGTCAGAAGGCAAGGAGGTCATTGTACGAAATTCTTCCTGCTTCGCGACTAAACTTTAGTAATATGATTGCCCATATAGCTACACATATTATGATGTGAGTACAAGATAAGAGAGAACACGCACGATGCATTGCGGCGGTCAAGTGCAATGACAATATATGTTAGAAATTTTTAGGGAGGACTTGCCCTAATCGTGACGCTTAGCAGTCCTAGACGTGTCGCACATTTGATGCTGCTCCCCGGTTTAGGTAATTTATACCTTTTATAAAGAGATGCTTATATCGCCATCTATCGAAAGCCATGATCTTTTTGACATTTCCCATAGTTACCTTATACGACACTTGCGGGTGTGCGGGGTGTGGTAGCGACTAAATAGATTCAATTATCCCATTAGGATACTACTAATGTAGATTACGAAAATGGTTGATAAACACGTACCCGCACGAAGGAAGTGTTTGTATGGTCTACAAATAATTGTTTCCGGCCTGGATGTGTTTTCTTGTGCAATTTATGTATGCAAGCTGTCTCTACAATACAAGAGAAAATTCTACTGTGGAGGTAACATTTCTTTTATTAAGGGATGTTTTCAGGGACGTTACCAGGGAAAAGAATCTCCAGTTTTCATTATTGTCTGTATGAAATACAGCAAAATTTTGCTACTATTTTACGCTGATATTCTGAGCAAGCGTAGTCCTGGTCAAGTGGACTTTTTCATGATGCATATTACAGCATCGTGACTATAATACAGTGAACCTCCAGTAATCCGGCACCCGTTGCAAACCGACATGGTCTATTATTTATAATTGAATATTTTTTGACAATCTTCGCTAATGCATGATTGAACAAGTTATGACTTGTACGCACCACCACCACTATTGTGCTCGACGCATAGGCTAGGCAAGGCGTAGGTTTTGATTCTGATTGCTTAGTTTGAATTTGACTACATGTGACGAAGATAACGGTGCGACCATAGAATACTATAATACACAATAGAATGGCTGTCAACCATACAAGCAATTATAGTAAAATTATTTCGTTCATGCAGTTGGGGTCATAAATCATAGTTCGGCTTCAGCCCGGCTAGGGTGGTGGGCATGTTACGCGGGTGCAACGCCATTATCGATAACAACAAATTAATCATCGAAGGCAGGTTCACGGCGGCGGTGCGGTATACAAAGGCTGGTGCGACATTATTATGTTATGATTCATTTGTTTTTCATTATTACCCCCGCCTAACACCTGCAAATTAGTGCATTGATATCGTAATTCATGGGGATGACGATGACTGATGATGTATGATGTAGAATTTTAATGTAAATAGTTTTAAATTTAATTTTAGATATAAGCTATTATCTTTATATTTATATTTATTTTTAATATAACTTGTTGTTGAGCCAAACATTTGTTCCTAAATTTTTTTCAATACGTAGATACTTAATCAATAATTTATTTCAAATCATTATTATTCTTATTTTAATAAATACGTTGTTTTATCAATTTTTTCATTTTTATCACTAACCCACATAATGACAAAACTAAATACACTATCGATAACGCTTATCGACAACAATAATTCGCATCACTATGCTCGGCCCTAAGGCCCGTGAGTGGGAGAGAGTGAAATACTATATTATGATTTATGACCCAAACTGCACGGACAAAATAATTCTATAGTCCGTTCGCGTTAAGAAAATAGTGGAGTCATCGTTGTCCGCCGGCCTAGCCAGGCCCCCCAGCCAATTAAAATGCAAGAAATTAGAAAGTCGAGTTCACAGTGACCAGTTGAAGTCAGGCCTTCGAACAAAACGGTTGTGTATTTTGCGTGTTACTCGTTCAACATTAAATTTTGAAAATGAATACCTCACCTATTCGAAAGAATAAAAGTGGATCAATAATTAGCGGAGAGAGACGCGTAATTTACAATGTTTATAAGTACTTTAAACTGTGTGATTTAAATGCGACTGTGGAGAGCACAGTAATAAAAACAGCAAGTGCATGTGGTGTGTCTGAAAATACTGTTTATAAAATTATTAAAGAACAAAAGGATACTAACACATTAAAATCACCCGTGAAAAAAGGAGCTTGACTATCGACGGTCGATAAATTAGATGAACTAGACAAATGTGCATTAATAAGTAGAAAAGTTCACTCAATATATTTAAATAACGACTACCCGACATTGGACAAAATTCATAAAATAATGCACGAGCTTGGTTTCAATTTCAATAAACAGGATAGTAGAACATTGTTAGTCGAAAGAGAAGACATTGTTTTATGGAGGCGTAAATATCAGAGGCAAATAAAATAATACAGAGCCGCTAATAAAACCATTTACTATCTTGACGAAACGTGGGTAAACGCCTGACACGTAAAGGCAAAAGCATGGTTGGATACAACGGTAAAAAATAAAACACAAGCCTTTCTAGATGGCTTATCAGCCAGTCCAAAAGCTTTATAGTATACGTCGTATTATCACTACTATAAACCCGATTCGCTGTATTGACAGACTGAGGGAATTTACACTATATATTTACATTTTTTGAAGATGATCACGTGGGCTACATCTGTTATTTCCACTGTAGAATTTTCTAGAGGCTATTGATATTTAAAAGAAAACCTTCCTAATTCCTATAGAGAAGATAGTTGTGTGCTGCCATCGACAGTCTATGATCCAGTGAATCAAAGTGTTTCCACTTTATATTACTGGATCCGCAATGTAGACGCCCAATTCTCTGACCATGATGATATTATATAGAACAGATTGAATTTACCAGGACCTTTTCTAATTGTCTTATAGCATAATGTGTAGCATTTGGTTTGACAGCACTGAACTTTGGCCATCCCACGAAATTTCTCGCCCAATATCTTTGTCTTACTCTTGGATATTTTATAAACTCTTGATATTGAACAGGTTTATGGTTACTTCTTGCATACAATCCTACTTCTTCAGATCTGTAGTCAGGTATTCCTAAAAGTTAAGAAAAATAATCACAAATCATAAACCAAGCTACTGGGTAAGATGTGGTTTAGTGTCGAATTAATATTTTTCTCAAAAGCGTTCAAATATGAGCAGGTCAATTCTACATGATCGCTCTAGAACGGCGTCATATTGACGCACACTACAATGTTCTCTCTGCGTACATGACTGCTTGAGCACACCTAGCACGAATCATTTTAATACTTTTTTTTTAATTTTGTGTATTATAATTTATATGATATCGCGTAACAGGCATACAAAATACCAAACAGTCAAATCAAGAACGCCCTATTTTTTGAAGTCGGTAAAAAACAACCCACACCACAGTTTAAAGAGAGTCTAATAGTTGGGAAACGAATGGCAGTAGGCTGTGCCACCTTGTGCCAGCGCACTCCATTCAGTTTGCTGTACAATACATGTGGTAGATGCGAGCGTGTTTTATAATACTTATTTAACTCATTTAAGTGCCGTTTTCGAAAAATATAATACCTATAATGGTGAATGACTGTTATAGCTCTATGAGTTACTAAGTAAAATTGAATTCTAATGACGGCCATGCTTATGTTTTCCTATTTTTTTTGTGATATGAATACCCTACATAATTAAATTTACAACAATCAAAAACTGAAAATATCTATAAAAAGAAAGTAACGAATATATTATTTTTTCTTGTAGTGACTAAATATGATCTGGTTCAATAAATATTTACTTATTACCTATATAATAAAATTATCATTTATTCATAGGTAAATAAATACTTATTTACCTATATAATGCTAATAAATGATAATGAATATTACAATATCCAAAATGATTTTATTCTCAATTTCGTGACAACTCCTAGCATACAAGCCGCCCGCTCGTAAATACCTGCTAAGCGGGCCGCTGCATTGCCGGACATCAAAGGTTTTTCACAAATATTAATTCTTTCAACTAAGCCCTTACTGCTACGACATAAAGGCGTTATCGCAGTGAGTCATATCTTAGATATTTTTTTAATCTGAATTTCTAATTCGTGCAGGTTTTCCTTCACCGCCAAGCATGTGGTAAATCATCACTTATAATACAAATACAATACTCTTTATTGTACACCAACAAAACATAAATATAACAAACAATGAGGGAAAAACAAAAGGCGGTCTTATAGCAATCTCTTCCAGACAACCCAGAAGAGGAAATTAATAAAAATAAAATTAACGGGTAGGGTGCACTAAATTAAAATAAAAAAATACTATATACTATAAAATGACAACATACTTAAGGTATATTAGTGACCATAACTAAGAAGAGGAAGAGAGAGGAGTTAAAGAGACAAATAGTGTTCCTTAATTTGTTTCTTGAACACATTTAAAGATTGAGCACTTTTAATGGACTGGGGTAAGGAGTTCCAGAGTCTTACTCCAAGAACAGCAAAAGATTTATCATAAATGTCGAGGAGTGTACAGGACATTGGAGCGAAAGATTTTCTTTGGACCGTAAGGAAAAATCGTGACAAGAGATAAGAAATTTAAAACGTTCTTTTAGATAGGGAGGACTTGATACATTAAATAAGACGCAGTAGAGCGCAGAAAGTATATGAGTATTCCGACGAAGACGGATTGGGAGCCACTTGAGTTTAGTGCGGTATTCCGAGACATGGTCATTTACGAAGCCCAAATATGAACCGTATACAGAGATTTTGGAGTCGCTCAAGTTTATTAAGTTGCTCCTCGGTGATATCAAGGTAACAAATGTCAGCATAGTCGAGGATAGGGAGTAGCAAAGATTGTGCAAGCGTAAATTTGGTGGAAAAGGGTAAAAAGTAGTTAAGCCTCCGGAGTGAAGCATAAGCCGCAAACATTTTTCGGCTCACTGCATTAATTTAGGGTGTCCAAGAAAGACTGGAATCCAAAAGGATACCAAAATTTTTAACTACTTCATTATATGAAATAAGGATACCATTAAATACAACTGGTTGAAGTTGACATTTTTTAATTTTGGAAATAGTTTTTGAACTCCCAATAATTATAGCTTGCGATTTTGAAGGGTTAACCGTCAAACTATAAGATCGTGTCCAGTCGAGAATAAAAGCCAGATCCTTGTTGATACATTCAACAGCTTTGGGAAGACCTTCAATGGTTGTTTGTAAATATAATTGCAAATAACAACTAACAATTTTATTGGTGCCGGCGGGGATGGAACCCGGATTGCGCGCGTTTACAGCGGACGCTTAGCCTTTGAGCTACAACGGCTCTTATATATGTTATAGTGATAAATATTATAATTATAGATGGGCCGAATATGGATTTTACCGAATACGAATATTCGGCCGGAAGTCGGTAAAACTTAGAATCGGGAACATTATTCGGCAGGATCACCTCGGTACCAAACCAATTTATGTCGAAACTTGTTACCGTAAAGCGCGTTTTTAGGACTTATTTTAGAGAAACTGACGACCAAAGTAAAGTGAAATGTACTAATGTAATGTAATATTTCTTTATTTGATTCCAAAAACATTTTATCAAACTTTCTATTTGCTATAATTTTAAATAAATCTACAGAGCCTCAAAAACATAAACTATACAAGGAGATTTAACCCATAAATAAAATATACTTTCAACAGTAAAATTATGATTTATGAAAGACATGGCATTACTCAATTTGTACATTTTAATACAGTGGACACTACCACTACACTACTAGAGTACCACTTTAACGAATGTTCGGTGATTTAGCCGAATATTCGGTAAAGCTGCCGAATACCGAATACGAAACGAAAATTCGGCCAATCTCTAATTATAACGATAAATTACTTAGTACCAAATAAAGTTATAAAATGATTAACTAAATAAATAAATAATATCATTACTAAGTATCATTCAAGGTGCTTGGGCGCGCTATCGCCTTTCGTTCACTTAAGCTATCGATGTGCATCGACGAGAGCGCGCGCGGCAGCGGGAATAAATGATAGTATCTGGACCACAGATAATATACTATTAGCAGTCTATAAATCTATACAGTCGTCCGACGAAGACGTCTAGACATGACAATCGTGCGGGGCGAGACGCGGAAAGGACAAGCCCGAGCTGCTTATGCCAATCTTATTAGTAGCTCGGGACACAACTTCCAGGGTTAACACGTGTTTGCTTTATTATTTTTAAATTTAGTGTAGGTACTTATAATTAAAATCGTGCATACGACGTGTGCTGTGAGAGATTACAAGTCGTCATCTCGCATAAATAAAGATCTGCGATTTCACTAAATTCCGCACACGGAAGAAAGGCAAATAAATATTGTTATTATTATTTTACATTGTTTATATTATGTTGTCATGCCAAATTGCCAACGTACGCAAAAATGGCGGACATAAAAAATAGGTACAAGTCGCTGGGCATGTGTTTCGAAGTTTGATTTTTTCTTCTTCATCGAAATCGTGTGGTTGGACACGTTAAGTTCTTAGATCATACTATAGTGCCTCGTCTTCGGTATTTCGAAGTTTTTATAAAATATTAAGGGCAAATATAACCTCAAAAGGCTTAGCAAGATCCTACGTTATACCGAAAATATTGCAGCATTAATTTTAAAATAAATATATGGTAAAGTTGAGGATTATCGTTAAGTACTATGTTAGACGAAAACATGATCCCGTAAAATTTTCTCGATAGAAAAAAACCCAAAGTTACCTCCAAACTGAACAATAAACCGCTGTTATTCATAAAATACTTTAAATAAGATCATGAAACTTTGCATACTAACTGAACTATAAAGCAGGGCTTATGTTTTTTTTTTTTTTTAATTACCATTATTTTCACTGTAAAAAGAAATTACCTAAACTATCGGCGACCTGAAGCTTGGAACCGGGCGGCAGGAAACAACTTTTTTAACATAAACAAATTTTAACATAAATTTAGCAGGAAGAAACTTTTTTAACATAGTACTTAACATTAATCCTCAACTTTACCATATATTTATTTCAAAATTAATGCTGCAATATTTTCGGCATAACGGATGATCTTGCTAAGCCATTTGAGGTTTTCTTCTTAAGATTTAGGGGTCATTTTTTAATATATGTATGATATGGATGTCAATTTCGAGGTTTCTTGGGGTGTTGATAACGAAAATGGCATATATTTTCAAATGCAAGATGGTGGACATATTTTTTTATGTTATGGATGTCAACTTTGAGGTTTCTCGGGGTGATGATTAGAAAACGCCATCCATTTTCATATCCAATATGGCGGACATTTTTAAATAATATGATATGGGTATCAATTTCGTGGTGTATGGAGTGTAGAAGTAAAGAGTACCAACTCCCATAGTAGAACAGTTGAAAAAGAGGGCATCTGTAAGCAGTAAATAACAGCTCAAAAACTCTCCACTACAGCGCTGGAGTAGCTACTGGGATGAAATGAACTTAGCAGTTGTCGACGGTTTAAGTGTGGTGCTAAACTGCTCATTAGCTCTAAAATCTAAAATAATTTTACTAGAACTAAAAATAACCATAAAACAAAGAAAAAGTCGTCTATCCCACAAATATTTTTCGGTGCGTTCTTTAAAATTTACCCCGTAGTTATAGTGGCGCTACCCTTATTTAATGGTTTTTATGGACACTTTTTAATACACAGTCTGTACTTCTTACTTCTACACTCGATATTCGTGGTGTCTTGGGGTACTGATTACAAAAATAGAATCTATTTTGAAGTCCAAGACTGGAGTTTTTTTTAATAATATGATGATACGGATGTCAATTTTAAGGTTTTTGGGGAGGACAATTAAGAAAATTTATTAATAGGTATTGTATTTAAAAATTTCAGAAGCAAATTATGGATATAAGTTATTGGAAGACCTTATATGAATGCATGATTGTAAAAACCCGCCTCAGACCATGTTTTTCTTTTTTTTACTATTTATGTTGAAAAATATTTAATATATGGTATTTTAAAAAGTGGTTGTATAATATATTCATAGATTTTTTTATTTGATTTTTTAAAGTTTTGGGATGAGGTGGATTT